TGGTTAGAGAGGTTCTAGAAGATCTAGGGAACATTCCTGGTGAGGGCCTGTGGCACAGCACTACTTTTGGTAAGATGGATCTGTGTTCTGGTAGGTAAGACGTCTGTCTCATAAAGGTGGATGACTGGCACAGGCTAGTAGACACTGCAGTGTAAGTGGCAAGGGGAAAGAGCCCTGGGTAATCATTGTTCAGAGCTTCCAGGTTCTTGACTAACCAAAGAGACCCAGGGAAATCTGATGGGTACTTCATCTGAAAAATTATGGAAAATACACTAAAATTTCTGATTCCTATGCTTTCTTCTAGACTGATATCTCTTTCTCCATCAATCAACTCCAGAAAATGAAACAAAGAGTTGGCAGTATTGTTATTCTTGTTTAAAAAATTAGCAATATTCTTCAAGTTACAAAGAATACTAAAATACTGCAAATTATCATGAAAATCAAGAATATTTTAAGAATAAAATCAAATATATGACAGAAAATCTGACATAAAGTATGTATAGATATTTGATAGATGCTTTCAAATTATGCTGGTAGTAGAGAAAACATAACATGGATTTTTATGCTTCATTTATTAAAATGAAGAACATTTTGGAACAGGCATTTTTCCCCCCCACCTCCTCGAGCTTTCCACTCTGGCCTCCGGAATGCCTTGTACACAGCAAATCTGGATCAGACAGACTAGGCACAACCTATGACTCCCGGGGAGACAAATTAAGCAAGGTTCAGAATGCTCTATACTGGGATGGAATGCCAAGAAAATCGAAAACAATGTGTAAAGAAGGTAGTAGTTATTCTTTAGCCAGATCTTGGTATATACATGTCATTAAAGACCAAGTGACTTTTGTAGGTCTAAAAAATTAAGCCTTAAAAAGGCCTTCATCAAATTCCAGTTAACGACTTGATTTACCTAAGTTATCCTGCAGTTATCTATTCATTTAGAATGTTGCCTTGATATGAAGATGCCCGTGTAACTTTTACAAGGAATTAAAACAAAGAGCAGGATTAGGGAATTTAGCCTGCAATAAGGGACTTTTATTTCTGGCTTATATGACACACATGAAATACAAACAAACAAACATTTGTTTTACGTGATTCATGTTTTTCCTCATGTAAAGATGACTTGAATTTATTCATAAAAAGATCAAAAATTTGAGGGCTAAAGCCCTAGAAGTTCTGCTATGACTTTTACGTTTTCTACAGTGACTAGCACATCATGGAAGCTCAAGCATTAAGCAAACACAAAACAATCCGGTAACCTTCTCACACATGTTGACAGATATGTAAGTTAGTACAGCCTCCATGGAAGGGAACCTGGTAGTATCTAACAAAATCACAAATGCATAAACCATTGACCCTATAATTCTGCTTTTGGGAATTTATCTTCAGTTCTGCCTGCACACCTACGAATTGATGCATATTCCAAGTTATGTGCTGCAGCACTGTTTGTAAAAGCAAAAGACTGGAAACAACCTAAATTTCCATCTGTAAGAGACTGATTAAATAAATTAAGGTGCATCCCTAAATGGAATACTATGTAGCTGTTAAAAAGGAAGGAGAAGGGGAGGGAAGGAGAGATAAAGAGAAAACTTTCTACACACATCCTGATTGGGGAAAAATCTCCAAGACACAATATTAAGAGAAAACATCAGTCTAGAACATCGCGTACAGGAGGCTAACTTTAGTGCAAAAAAGTTGAAAATTATAAACATATTCATACGTTTATAAGGAAACTTTAGGAGGCTATCCAAAAAATCAAAGGGAGAAGGACAGGAACAGAGTAAATGGAAGACAGGTGAACAAGATGGATGGAAGGAGTATGTCTTTACATGTTTTTATTGCAAAAATTTTGAACCATGAGCATATTTTGTCTATTTAAAAAACTTTTAAAATGCAGACAAAAAGAAAAAAAAAGCAAGCCTAAAAAGCATGTGGAACTACTGAAGAAAAGATACTAGTACATGAGGTAATAGCAAGATAGCTTGTAGATACAGTAATTTCTCTACTACGTTGTGCAAACAAGCCATGAATTACAGGATTTATGATT